GAGCGTGTGCGGGGAGCTGGGGCCGTGCTGGCGGTCCTGGTGCTGCTGGGAGCCCCCCCGGCTGCGGGCGAGGAGCTGTCGGGTGAGCGGGGGGGGGGCGGGCAGGGGGGTGGGGTGGGAAATGGGGGGAAAGAGGGGAGAAAAGAGGGGGTGGGAGCCCCAAAAGTGAGTGGGAGGGGGGTTGGAAGGCCCGGAGTGAGTAGGAGGGGGGTGGGAGCCCCAAAGTGAGGGCGGGGGGCTCTGGGGATTGTGGGGCCGGTGGGAAAGGGGTGGGAGAGGGGGGCAAGGGGGTGTGGGAGAGCAGGCAGAGGGGTGCCATGGGGGTCCATCGGTGATCTGGAGCGGTACCCTGTGATCTGCGGGGTAGATCCGCATTGGGGGGGTCCCCAACCCCCCTGTCAATCCCCGGGGGCTGATGGGGGGGTTCCCCCACAGCCAAGAGCCGGTGCTGGGGTGTCCGTGGGGCAGAGGGGGGTGGGAAAGGGGGATCCGGGGTGGCCCCCTGAACTCCCACCCCGCTGTACGGGGCTGTGGGATGATGGGGGCGACGGGGCACCCCCTGACCCGTGTCCTGCACACACAGGGGTGTTCCAGGAGATGTTAAAGTTCGAATGTTACGTCATCAACGGCACCGAGACGGTGAAGCTCGTGGAGAGGCACATCTACAACCGGGAGCAGTACGTGCACTTCGACAGCGATGTGGGGGTCTATGTGGGGGACAGCCTGGATGGGGAGGAGGTTGCCAGGGACTGGAACAGGGACCCGGAAAAGATGGAGCTCACACGGGCTCAGGTAGACACGTGCCGGAACAACTACAGGATCGTTACCCCGTTCAGTGTGAAGAGGAGAGGTGAGCGTGGGGTAGAGCGGGTCCCCTCAGCCCCTGCCCCGGGAATGACCCTGGAGCCCCTCAAACCCTCCCTGGGAATCACCCCAGACCCCTCAGCCCTCCCTGTGCCCGTCCCCGTGCTCTTGTGCCCCCTCCGGTTCTTCCCATTCCATCCCAGTCTCTCCCAGTGCCCCCCGCCGCGTCTCCACCCCGCTGGGTGGAGGGTTTGGGTTAGTGCCCTGGGGGTCCCTGGGGGTCCCAGCTCACGCCCCTCAGCCAATCCCAGCGCGTCTCTCTGATGACGCTCCAGTTGCCAGGCAGACCCAAACAAAAGAGTTCCCTCACCACGACTCAGCCTCCCAGTCCGGATCGCTTCCTTCCCAGCCCACACCAGTCATTCCCAGTCCATCACAGTCATTCCCAGTCCCTCTGCCTCCACTTCCAGACCCTCTCAGTCCGTTCCCAGTCGTTCTCACTTCACTCCCACATCTCCCAACTCTCTCCCAAGTGACCCCCCAGCCCAGCCCCTTCTACCCCATTCTATTCCCAGACCCTCCCACTGCCATCCCAGTCCCTCCCAGTGCCCCCCAGCTGATCCCAGTGTCTCCCCCGTCCCTCCCAGTGCCCCCCAGCTGATCCCAGTGTCTCCCCGTCCCTCCCAGTGCCCCCCAGCGTGTCCATCTCGCTGGTGCCGTCGAGCTCCCAGCCCGGCCCCGGCCGCCTGCTCTGCTCCGTGATGGATTTCTACCCTGCGCCGGTGCAGGTGAGGTGGTTCCAGGATGGGCAGGAGCTGCCGGAGCACGTGGTGGCC